TCCTCTAGGATTTTTATGGTATTAGGTCTAACATTTAAGTCTCTAATCCATCTTGAATTAATTTTCGTATAAGGAGTAAGGAAAGGATCCAGTTTCAGCTTTCTACTTATGGCTAGCCAGTTTTCCCAGCACCATTTATTAAATAGGGAATCCTTTCCCCATTTCTTGTTTCTCTCAGGTTTGTCAAAGATCAGATGGCTGTAGATGTGTGGTATTATTTCTGAGGACTCTGTTCTGTTCCATTGGTCTATATCTCTGTTTTGGTACCAGTACCATGCTGTTTTGGTTACTGTAGCCTTGTAGTATAGTTTGAAGTCAGGTAGCATGATGCCTCCAGCTTTGTTCTTTTGACTTAGGATTGTCTTGGAGATGCGGGCTCTTTTTTGGTTCCATATGAACTTTAAAGCAGTTTTTTCCAATTCTGTGAAGAAGCTCATTGGTAGCTTGATGGGGATGGCATTGAATCTATAAATTACCTTGGGCAGTATGGCCATTTTCACGATATTGATTCTTCCTATCCATGAGCATGGTATGTTCTTCCATTTGTTTGTGTCCTCTTTTATTTCACTGAGCAGTGGTTTGTAGTTCTCCTTGAAGAGGTCCTTTACATCCCTTGTAAGTTGGATTCCTAGGTATTTTATTCTCTTTGAAGCAATTGTGAATGGAAGTTCATTCCTGATTTGGCTCTCTGTTTGACTGTCACTGGTGTATAAGAATGCTTGTGATTTTTGCACATTAATTTTGTATCCTGAGACTTTGCTGAAGTTGCTGATCAGCTTAAGGAGATTTTGGGCTGAGACAATGGGGTTTTCTAAATATACAATCATGTCGTCTGCAAACAGGGACAATTTGACTTCTTCTTTTCCTAACTGAATCCCCTTGATTTCTTTCTCTTGCCTGATTGCCCTAGCCAGAACTTCCAACACTATGTTGAATAGGAGTGGTGAGAGAGGGCATCCCTGTCTTGTGCCAGTTTTCAAAGGGAATTTTTCCAGTTTTTGCCCATTCAGTATGATATTGGCTGTGGGTTTGTCATAAATAGCTCTTATGATTTTGAGGTACGTTCCATCAATACCGAATTTATTGAGCGCTTTTAGCATGAAGGGCTGTTGAATTTTGTCAAAAGCCTTTTCTGCATCTATTGAGATAATGATGTGGTTCTTGTCTTTGGTTCTGTTTATATGCTGGATTATGTTTATTGATTTGCGAATGTTGAACCAGCCTTGCATCCCAGGGATGAAGCCCACTTGATCATGGTGGATAAGCTTTTTGATGTGCTGCTGAATCCGGTTTGCCAGTATTTTATTGAGGATTTTTGCATCGATGTTCATCAGGGATATTGGTCTAAAATTCTCTTTTTTTGTTGTGTCTCTGCCAGGCTTTGGTATCAGGATGATGTTGGCCTCATAAAATGAGTTAGGGAGGATTCCCTCTTTTTCTATTGATTGGAATAATTTCAGAAGGAATGGTACCAGCTCCTCCTTGTACCTCTGGTAGAATTCAGCTGTGAATCCATCTGGTCCTGGACTTTTTTTGGTTGGTAGGCTATTAATTATTGCCTCAATTTCAGAGCCTACTATTGGTCTATTCAGGGATTCAACTTCTTCCTGGTTTAGTCTTGGAAGAGTGTAAGTGTCCAGGAAATTATCCATTTCTTCTAGATTTTCCAGTTTATTTGCGTAGAGGTGTTTATAGTATTCTCTGATGGTAGTTTGTATTTCTGTGGGGTCGGTGGTGATATCCCCTTTATCATTTTTAATTGCGTCGATTTGATTCTTCTCTCTTTTCTTCTTTATTAGTCTTGCTAGTGGTCTGTCAATTTTGTTGATCTTTTCAAAAAACCAACTCCTGGATTCATTGATTTTTTGGAGGGTTTTTTGTGTCTCTATCTCCTTCAGTTCTGCTTTGATCTTAGTTATTTCTTGCCTTCTGCTAGCTTTCGAATGTGTTTGCTCTTGCTTCTCTAGTTCTTTTAATTGCGATGTTAGAGTGTCAATTTTAGATCTTTCCTGCTTTCTCTTGTGGGCACTTAGTGCTATAAATTTCCCTCTACACACTGCTTTAAATGTGTCCCAGAGATTCTGGTATGTTGTATCTTTGTTCTCATTGGTTTCAAAGAACATCTTTATTTCTGCCTTCATTTCGTTATGTACCCAGTAGTCATTCAGGAGCAGGTTGTTCAGTTTCCATGTAGTTGAGCGGTTTTGATTGAGTTTCTTAGTCCTGAGTTCTAATTTGATTGCACTGTGGTCTGAGAGACAGTTTGTTATAATTTCTGTTCTTGTACATTTGCTGAGGAGTGCTTTACTTCCGATTACGTGGTCAATTTTGGAGTAAGTACGATGTGGTGCTGAGAAGAATGTATATTCTGTTGATTTGGGGTGGAGAGTTCTATAGATGTCTATTAGGTCTGCTTGCTGCAGAGATGAGTTCAATTCCTGGATATCCTTGTTAACTTTCTGTCTCGTTGATCTGTCTAATGTTGACAGTGGAGTGTTGAAGTCTCCCATTATTATTGTATGGGAGTCTAAGTCTCTTTGTAAGTCTCCAAGGACTTGCTTTATGAATCTGGGTGCTCCTGTATTGGGTGCATATATATTTAGGATAGTTAGCTCTTCCTGTTGAATTGATCCCTTTACCATTATGTAATGGCCTTCTTTGTCTCTTTTGATCTTTGATGGTTTAAAGTCTGTTTTATCAGAGACTAGTATTGCAACCCCCGCTTTTTTGTGTTCTCCATTTGCTTGGTAAATCTTCCTCCATCCCTTTATTTTGAGCCTATGTATGTCTCTGCGTGTGAGATGGGTCTCCTGAATACAGCAGACTGATGGGTCTTGACTCTTTATCCAGTTTGCCAGTCTGTGTCTTTTAATTGGAGCATTTAGTCCATTTACATTTAAGGTTAAGATTGTTATGTGTGAACTTGATCCTGCCATTATGATATTAACTGGTTATTTTGCTCGTTAGTTGATGCAGTTTCTTCCTAGCCTTGATGGTCTTTACATTTTGGCATGTTTTTGCAATGGCTGGTACCGGTTGTTCCTTTCCATGTTTAGTGCTTCCTTCAGGGTCTCTTGTAAGGCAGGCCTAGTGGTGACAAAATCTCTAAGCATTTGCTTATCTGTAAAGGATTTTATTTCTCCTTCACTTATGAAACTTAGTTTGGCTGGATATAAAATTCTGGGTTTAAAATTCTTTTCTTTAAGAATGTTGAATATTGGCCCCCACTCTCTTCTGGCTTGAAGAGTTTCTGCCGAGAGATCTGCTGTTAGTCTGATGGGCTTCCCTTTGTGGGTAACCCGACCTTTCTCTCTGGCTGCCCTTAAGATTTTTTCCTTCATTTCAACTTTGGTGAATCTGGCAATTATGTGTCTTGGAGTTGTTCTTCTCGAGGAGTATCTTTGTGGCGTTCTCTGTATTTCCTGGATTTGAATGTTGGCCTGCCCTACTAGGTTGGGGAAGTTCTCCTGGATGATATCCTGAAGAGTGTTTTCCAACTTGGTTCCATTTTCCCCCTCACTTTTAGGCACCCCAATCAGACGTAGATTTGGTCTTTTTACATAATCCCATACTTCTTGCAGGCTTTGTTCATTTCTTTTTCTTCTTTTTTCTTTTGGTTTCTCTTCTCGCTTCATTTCATTCATTTGATCCTCCATCGCTGACATTCTTTCTTCCAGTTGATCGAGACGGTTACTGAAGCTTGTGCATTTGTCACGTATTTCTCGTGCCATGGTTTTCGTCTCTTTCATTTCATTTGTGAGCTTCTCTGCATTAATTACTCTAGCCATCAATTCTTCCACTTTTTTTTCAAGATTTTTAGTTTCTTTGCGCTGGGTACGTAATTCCTCCTTTAGCTCTGAGAAATTTGATGGACTGAAGCCTTCTTCTCTCATCTCGTCGAAGTCATTCTCCGTCCAGCTTTGATCCGTTGCTGGCGATGAGCTGCGCTCCTTTGCCGGGGGAGATGCGCTCTTATTTTTTGAATTTCCAGCTTTGCTGCCCTGCTTTTTCCCCATCTTTGTGGTTTTATCTGCCTCTGGTCTTTGATGATGGTGATGTACTGATGGGGTTTTGGTGTAGGTGTCCTTCCTGTTTGATAGTTTTCCTTCTAACAGTCAGGATCCTCAGCTGTAGGTTGTAGCTGTAGGAGATTGCTTGAGGTCCACTCCAGACCCTGTTTGCCTGGGTATCAGCAGCAGAGGCTGCAGAAGATAGAATATTTCTGAACAGCGAGTGTACCTGTCTGATTCTTGCTTTGGAATCTTCCTCTCAGGGGTGTACTCCACCCTGTGAGGTGTGGGGTGTCAGACCGCCCCTAGTGGGGGATGTCTCCCAGTTAGGCTACTCAGGGGTCAGGGACACACTTGAGCAGGGAGTCTGTCCCTTCTCAGATCTCAACCTCCGTGTTGGGAGATCCACTGCTCTCTTCAAAGCTGTTAGACAGAGTCGTTTGCGTCTGCAGAGCTGCTGCGTTTGTTATTATTTACTGTGCCCTGTCCCCAGAGGTGGAGTCTACAGAGACAGACAGGTTTCCTTGAGCTGCTGTGAGCTCCACCCAGTTCGAGCTTCCCAGCAGCTTTGTTTACCTACTTAAGCCTCAGCAATGGCGGGCGCCCCTCCCCCAGCCTCGCTGCTGCCTTGCCGGTAGATCACAGACTGCTGTGCTAGCAATGAGGGAGGCTCCGTGGGTGTGGGAGACACTCCCGGCCAGGTGTGGGATATGATCTCCTGGTGTGCCTGTCTACTTAAAGCGCAGTATTGGGGTGGGAGTTACCCGATTTTCCAGGTGTTGTGAGTCTCAGTTCCCCTGGCTAGGAAAAGGGATTCCCTTCCCCCTTGCGCTTTCCAGGTGAGGCAATGCCTCGCCCTGCTTCAGCTCTCGCTGGTCGGGCTGCAGCAGCTGACCAGCACCGATCGTCTGGCACTCCGCAGTGAGATGAACCCAGTACCTCAGTTGAAAATGCAGAAATCGCCGGTCTTCTGTGTCGCTCGCGCTGGGAGTTGGAGACTGGAGCTGTTCCTATTCGGCCATCTTGCTCCGCCCCCAATGCTCCCAAATACAGAATCTTATCTCCATTTCCCTTCTCCAAGTTTATGTTTTATTATTGTGTATTTTAGTTATTATTTTGATTTGCATACACATATATGCATATAAACATATATAATGCACTTATATATATGTAGACATTAAGTCCCATGTTATTATTATTTCATTAAAAACATATTACTTAAGCTTTACTAACATATTTGGCTTTTCTGTTGCCTTTATTTTTCCTGAATCTGAGAGTGTCCTTGTGGGATCATTTTGCTTCTGCCTTAAGAACACTCTGTAGTATTTGCTTTAGTGTAGGTCTGCTGGTGATGAATTCTTCAGTTTTCAGCTGTCTCTAAGTATCTTCACATCACTTTCACATTTGAAGAATTTTGTTTTTATGAATTTAGAATTTTAGGTTTGAAGTGATTTTGTCTCCACAGTTTGAATATATCATTCTATTGTCTCCTGGATTTCTTTAAGTTCAGTGAGTTTTTAAGTTCTTATTGTTTTTCTCTTGGAGTGAATGTGGCTTTTCTTTTCCTCTAGTTCCTGTTAAGATTTGAGGCTGATCTGTTTCTTGTCCTCTCTACTTCTAGGGCATCCGTTCATCCAACGCCTGGGGTCTTTACCACAGCCTGTCCTCCTCAGCGGGCTCTGAACTCGAGGGTTTGTCCCCTCTGTTCTGTGAGTCTGTTGCTAGCTCTGCTCGGATTTTCAGGCTCTCAACCATTGCTTGCAAAATTGGAAATCCTCACAGGTAAAAAGTAGCTTCAAATATGAGACTCAGTTATCTTGGCTTATAACTCCCCTCCACCTGTAAACATTTCTTTTTTCTTTAATCGACTTTTCTTAGTGGGAGGGTTAATTTCAAGTAACAGCCCATCAGGCCAGACTTGGTGGCTCACGCCTGCAATCCCAGAACTTTGGGAGGCCGAGCTAGGTGGATCAGCTGAGGCAGGAGTTCAAGAGCAGCTGGGCCAACATGGTGAAACCCCATCTCTACTAAAAATACAAAAATTAGTCGGGCATGGTGGTGGGTGCCTGTAATCCCAGCTACTTGGGAGGTTGAGGCAGGAGAATTGCTTGAACCTGGGAGAGTCAGGTTGCAGGGAGCCAAGATTGAATCATTGCACTCCAGCCTGGGTGACAAGAGTGGGACAATTACCAAATTCTGGGGCTGGGTAGAGGCAAGTTTAAGAGTAAAGTTGAAAAACTTATAGCAAGTAAAGTAGAAATGATGAATTCTCCTGGAGCTAAGGAGACATACCACCAAGCTATGGAGGGAATGCTCTGGAGGACCACATTCTAGGAATATGTGTGATGAGAGGTAAAGTGATGATGCCTGATGAATAAGTAAATTAAGTTCAAGAGCATGGATGAGTTAGGGAGAGCTAGCAGTGTGTGAAAAACCTGGGAAGCAGGATTTTATTAGGTTGGTGCCAAAGTAATTGCAGCTTTTGCCATTTAAAAGTAATTAAGCCAGGCAGAGAAAGACAAATACTGTATGATTTCACTTACATGTGGAATCTAAAAACATTGAACTCGTAGAAGCAGAGAGTAGAATGGTAGTTTCCAGGGACTGGGAGGGGAAAGATGGGGGAGATGTTGGTCTAAGGATACAAAAATCTAAGGATGTCAAGGGACACACCATCACTTTATCTCTCATCACACATATTCCTAGAATGTGGTCCTCCAGAGCTTTCCCTCCATAGCTTGGTGGTATGTCTCCTTAGCTCCAGCAGAATTCATCATTTCTACTTTACTTGCTATAAGTTTTCAACTTAACTCTTTGCCATTTAAAAGTAATGGCAAAAACCGCGATTACTTTGGCACCAACCTACAGAACTGCAAGCATCTTAGAATCATTTTTTTTTTTTATTTTGCTAGACAGAGAGTGATGGGATTTGAAGAGGTTAGCAGAGAGCTGACCACAAGGGATGTTGAATGGCATAATAATGTAGTGATTTTCAATAATAAAATACGTTAACTATAGATCTCTTGAACTTTTTCTCCTGACAGTTTCTATACTTAGACCAACATCTCCCCCATCTTTCCCCTCACAGTCCCTGGAAACTAACATTCTACTCTCTGCTTCCATGAGTTCAGTGTTTTTAGATTCCACATATATGTGAAATCATACAGTATTTGTCTTTCTCTGCCTGGCTTAATTTACTTAACATTATATCCTCCAGATTCCTCCATGTTGTTGTAAAAGACAGGATTTCCTTCTCTTTAAAGGCTGAATAATATTCCATTAGGTACATATATACCACATTTCTGTTATCCATTTAACTGCTGACTGACACTTAGCTTGATTCCATATCCTGGTTATTGTGAATAATGCTGCAATGAACATGGGGTACAGATATCTCTTTGATATACCAATTTTATTTTCTTTGGACGTATGCCCAATAGTTGGATTGCTGGATCATTTGGTACTTCTATTTTTTTTTTTTTTTTTTTTAGGAACCCCATACGTTTTCCATCATGGCTGGACTAGTTTACATCACCACCGACAGTTCCTTTTTCTTAACATCCTTGCCAACACTTGTTATCTTTTGTCCTTTTCATAATAGCCATTGTAACAGGTGTGAGGTGACATCTTATTGTGGTTTTAATCTGAATTTCTCTGCTTAGTGATGGTCGGCCTTTTTTTCACATACCTGCTTGCCATTCGTGTATCTTCTTTTTAGAAGTGTTATTCAGGTCCTTTGTCCTTTGTTCTCTAGCACCCTGTGTTCCTGGGCAGCTACATAAGTCTTGACAGGTCAGGTGGCCACAGCACCCCAGAATGTTATTCTGGCAGAAGGAAAAAGCACCCATCTTGGATTGCAGTCAGGTTCCAAGTGAGTCTGCAATTTGTCTATTTTTAATTTGGGTTATTTGTTTTCTTACTATCGAGCCATTTTACTTCCCTATATATTTTATATATTAAGTCTTTATCAGATGTATGGCTTGAAAATATTTTCCCCATTCTATAGGTTGTTTTCTTTGCTGTGCAGAAGCTTTTTACTTTGATGTAATTACATGAGCCTATTATTGCTCTTGTTGCCTGTGATTTTGGGGGTCATATTCCAAAAATCTTTTGCCCAGATGGAGCTTTTCTCTTTTTTTTCAATAATTTTACAGTTTTAGGTCTTACATTTAAGTCTTCAATCCATTTTGAGTTAATTTTTTAATATAATGTGAGATAAAGATCTAATATTAGTCTTCTGCATGTGGAGAGCCAGTTTTCCCAACACCATTTATTGAAGAGACTGTCCTTTTCACATGTGTATTCTTGGAAACTCTGCCAAAAATCAATTGACTGTAAATGTGTAGATTTATTTGAGGGCTCTTTACTTCATTTCATTGGTCTATGTGTTTGTTTCATGCCAGTTCCATGCTGTTTTGATTACTATAGCTTTGGAGTAGATTTTGAAATCAGGTAGTTTGATACCTCTAGGTTTTTTTGTTTGTTTTGGTTTTTGGTCAAGATTTCCTTGGGTATTTGGGGTCTTTTGATGCTCCATAGAATTTTAGGATTATTTTGTCTATTTCTGTGACCAATGTCATGGAATTTTGATGGGGATTGTATTGAATCTATAGATCACTTTTGGTAGTATGAACATTTTAACATTAATTCTTCCAATTCATGAACATGGCATATTCTCTATTATTTGTGTCGTCCTCAATTTCTTTCATCAATGCTTTGTAATTTTCAGTGTTCAGGTCTTTTATCTCCTTTGTAGCTATTGTAAACATAATTTTTTAAAATTTCTTTTTTTTAGCTAGCCACTATTAGTGTGCAGAAATGCTACTGATTTTTGTACAATTTTTGATTGTGTATCCTGCAATTTTATTGAATTTGTTTATTTTTCTAACAGTTTTTTGTTGGAGTCTTTTAATATTTTCTACATATAATATCACGTGTCTGCAAACAGGCACACTTTAACTTATTTCTTTTCAATTTAGATGCCTTTTTTTTCTTTTGCCTAATTACTGTCTAGGATTTCCAGTACATGAATAGACGTGGAAAATTTGGGCATCCTTGTCTTTTTCCTGATCTTAAAGGGAAAGATTTCCAGTTTTCACCATTGAGTGTGAAGTTAGCTGTGGATTTGTTATCTATGGCATTTATTTTCCTGAGGTGTTCCATCCATACCTAATTTTTTGAGTTTTCCTTATGAAAAATATTTAATTTTATCAAATGTTTTTTTAATTTTATCAAATCTACTGATATGATTATATGACTTTTGTCCTTCATTCTGTTAATGTGATATATCACATTATAGATTTATAGATTTGTGTATATTGAACCATCTTTGTATTCCTGGGATAAACTCCACTTGATGGTGGTGAGCAATCCACTTAATATACTGTTACATTTGATTTCATGGTATTTTGTTGAGGATTTTTGCATCTATGTTCATCAGGGATATTAGTTTACAGTTTTCTTTTCTTGTGGGGTCTTTATCTGGATTTGGTTTCACAGTAACACTGACCCTTTAAAATCAGTTTGGAAGTATTCCTTCTTCTTTAATTTCTTTTGAAGAGTTTGAGAAGAATTGGTACTATTTCTTTACATACATTGTAGAATTTAGTAATGAAGCCATCAGGTCCTGGACTTTTCTTTGGCGGGAGACTTTTTCTTACTACTTTCATCTCCTTACTTATTATTGATCTTTTTTTTTTTTTTTTTTTTTTTTTGGGACGGAGTCTCGCTCTGTCGCCCAGGCTGGAGTGCAGTGGCCAGATCTAAGCTCACTGCAAGCTCCCGCCTCCCAGGTTCACGCCATTCTCCTGCCTCAGCCTCCCGAGTAGCTGGGACTACAGGCGCCCGCCACCACGCCTGGCTAGCTTTTTGTATTTTTTAGTAGAGACGGGTTTCATCGTGTTAGCCAGGGTGGTCTCGATCTCCTGACCTCGTGATCCACCCGTCTCGTCCTCCCAAAGTGCTAGGATTACAGGCTTGAGCCACCGCGCCCAGCCATTATTATTGATCTTTTCAGATTTTATATTTCTGCATGATTCAATCTTGGTAGGTTGTGTGTGTCTAGGAATTTATTCACTTCTGGTGGGTTATTAAATTTGATGGCCTATAATTGTTCATAGTAGTCTCATAATCCTTTGCATTTCAATTGTAATGTAATGTATTTCAGATGTTACAGCTCATTTCTGATTTTGTCTTCTTGCTTTTTTTCTTAGTCTGGCTAAGGGTTTGTCAATTTGTTTATCTTTTCAAAAAATGTGTAGTTTATTTGATCTTTCTATTGTTTGTCTTGTTTCTATTTTATTTATTTCAGCTCTTATCTTTATTATTTCCTTCTTTCTACTAACTCTGGGCTTAGTTTTTCTTATTTTTTTAGTTCCTTGAGGTATAACATTACATTGTTTATTTGAGATCTTTATTTATCTGTGGTGTAGGCATTTATTGCTATAAACTTTTCTTTCAGAACTGCTTTTTCATAAGTGCACCATAGAGTATTATTTAGAAAAAGAACTGCATTTCTTATATTTTGATATAATTTGTTTCCACTTTAATTTCTCTCAAGATACTTTTTAGTTTTCCTTTAAATTTATTCATTGATTCATTGGTTGTTAGCATGCTGTTTAATTTCCATGAAATATATAGAAATTCCCAAAATTCCTTCTGTTACTGATTTCTAGTTTCATACTATTGTGGTTGGAAAAAATACTTGATATAATTTTAATCGTTTTGTATTTGTTTTTTCTTGTTTTGTGAACTAACACATGATCTATATTGGAGAATATTCTATGTGCACTTGAAAAGAATGTATATTCTGCTGCTTTTGGATGAAATTTTCTGTATATGTCTGTTAGGTCCATTTGGTCTAAAGTGTAGTTTAAGTCTGATATTTCCTTATTGATTTTCTGTCTAGATAATCTGTCCATTGTTGAAGCTGTGGTAGAGAAGTCCCTTACTATTTTTGTATTGCAATCTATATCTTCCTTCAGATCTATTCATATTTGCTCCATTCATCTAAGTGTTCAGATGTTAGTTGCATATGTATTCACAATTGTTATAGCTTCTTGATGAACTGATTCCCTGATGGTTACATAGCAACTTTCTTTGTCTCTTTTTGAAGTTTTGACTCAAATTTTATTTTATCTGAAGTAAGTATAGTACTTCTGCTCTCTTGGTTTTTATTTACATGGTTTATCTTTTTTCATCCTTTCACTTTCTTTCCATATGACTTTCAGTTATAAAGTTGAAGTGAGTCTCTTTTACCAGCATATAGTTGGGTCACTTAAAGAAATCATTTATTCACTCTCTCTTTTTATTGAAGAGTTTAATCTCTTTACATTCAAGATAATTATTGATAAGTAAGAAGTTAGTATTATCATTTTGTTAATTATTTTCTGGTTGTTCTGTAGATTCTTTTTTCCTTTCTTCCTTTCTTGCTATCTTTTTTAGTGGTTAGGTGATTTTCTCTACAGCATACATTGATTCTTTTTCTTTTTTCTTTTACTTTCTTTTCTTTTTTTTTTTTTTTTCCTGAGACAGGGCCTCATTCTGTCACCCAAGCTGGAGCTCAATGTCATGATCATGGCTCACTGCAGCCTCGACTTCGCAGATTCAGGTGAGTCTCCCACCTCAGCCTCCTGAGTAGCTGGGACTACAGGTGGGTACCACCACACCTGCGTACTTTTTGTATTTTTTGCAGAGACAGTCTTTCGTTATGTTTCTCAGGCAGTCAGTAACTCCTGGGCTGAAGTGATCCAGGCCACTTCAGCCTCCCAAAGTGCTGGGATTACAAGGTGAGCCACTGTGCCTGGCTGATTCCTTACTTTTTATCTTTCATATAAGTAATACAGGTTTTCGCTTTGTGGTTTTCCTAAGGCTTATATAAAACATCTTACACTGATTACACTATTTTAACTGGATAACAACTTATCTTTGATCACATTAAAAACTCTAATCTTTTACTGCCCCCTCCCACATGTTGTTCTTGATATCACTATTTACATCTTTTTGTATTGTATAGTCCTTAAATTATTGCAGTGATGATATTGCTATTATTATTTTTAATAATTTTATCTTTTAACTTTTATACTAAAGATATAGGTGATTTACACACCACCATGACAATATTAGGGCATTTTGAATTCTATTGTGTTCTCACTTTCACTAGTTTTTTAATACTTTCATATGTTTTCATGTTACTAATTAGTGTCCTTTTCCTTTAGCTTAAATAATTCCCTTTAGCATTTTTTTGTAACATGGGTCTGGTGATGATAAACTCCCTCAGCTTTCGTTTGTCTAGGAAAGCAGTTATGTCTTCTTTGTTTCTGAAGGACAGTTTGCCAGTTAAAGTATTCTTGTTTGGCAAAGATTTTCACCTTCAGCACTTTAAATATATCATCCCACTCTTTCCTGGCCTGTAATTGGAACTCCTTTATCTGTTACTTGTTTCTTTTCTCTTGCTCTCAAAATCTCTTTAATTTTTGACAGTTTGATTATAATATATATTGGTGTCATCTTGTTTCAACTGAATCTGGGGAGACCTTTGGCCTTCCCATACTTGGATATTTAAAAACCGAAGCCATTTTTTTTCTTTTTTTTGATATAGAGTTTCGCTTTTGTCACCCAGGCCGGAGTGCAATGGCATAATCTTGGCTCACTGCAACCTCCACCTCCCAGGTTCAAGCAATTCTCCTGCCTCAGCCTCCAGAGTAGCTGGGATTACAGGTATGTGCCACCACGCCCGGATTATTTTTGTATTTTTAGTAGAGACAGGGTTTTACCACATTGGCCAGGCTGGTCTCAAACTCCTGACCTCAGGTGATCTGCCCACATCAGCCTCCCAAAGTGCTGGGATTATAGGCATGACCCACTGCGCCCAGCCCAATCATTTTTTAATAACTGAAGAAGTTTGAAATCAAGGGCAACACAAAGCAAAGGCACAGTTGTTTTGTTTCAATGATGATTAACTTCCATGAGGTACTCTCTATGAAAATATGAAACATTTTCTCACATGAAAAGTGAAAGTCATATAACATGTTGAACGATACAGTTGAATATGAGAGCAAGAAGGTGTACTCTGGACAACTAAAAAGCAGGTTCCCATTGGGAGGGCTTTCCTGGCCTGGATGAGTGATCTGACCTAGATACGTGACCTGGGGGTGTCAGGAGGCTGCAGGTTGTACTTACAGATGAACCTCTGCGGTAGAGCAAACTATCACATGCAACACTCAGTGGGAGTGTGTGGTTCCTGAGAAGGTTAGGTCTGTATGAAGGATGTATATCTTTAGGATGTTTCTAGAAAACTGGAGAGAAAGATTTACTAAAATAAACCCAGGTTCTTAATTTTGGTTTAAGCACAGATTTCTATAGTTTTTCAGGTGCCTTATGAGTTTTTGCAGATATACCCACAGACACTTAAATGAACTAAACAAAGAACAACAAACAGGACACTTGCTACACATGCTGAGGACCTTCACTTTAGGAATATGTAGAAAACAATTTGGCATTTTCAAGTGGATAAAAAGCTGTTCATATCTCCCACCACAATTGACTGACTGTTCTAAGCTTAAATAAACAATTATACAAATAATGACAATGGAGTCATACAAAACTATTTAATTAATGTATATTCAATTATAAATCCAAAGAGGGGAATTTTAATGGTTTGGATGACTCCAGTTTGCCCATCCATTAGCAAGCACATACCTTACATAGGGAAGAAAGTAGGCTAGAGCCTGCTGATCCCTCAACAAGTCTTAGGTCTTGCCTGCTGCTCTCATTATGAGCAGCTCTTCGTTCTGAGGGTAATTCCTGAGTTTAAGACACACCTTAGTCTTACAATATACTGCTTCAACACAAGCTATCTTTTTATCTGGCACTCAGCTGAAGAAGCCACCCTAAGAAGTAAGTGTACCCTTGAATTTTACCTTGGGCTCTTTCTCTGCAATCTCATGCCTTGGCCTGCCTCATCACAATGAGCCGTGACCCACACTGTACAGTTTATAAAAAGTGATCTTAGCTGTTGCTTCTATCCTCTGTTCATGGTGTATTTTCACTGTAGAAAGTTCCTAAATGCTTACATATTTCTGGGCCTTGTGGAATTCTCTGGAGTACTCTTGAGGTATGTCTCACGGCAGGTCAGCTGCAAGAGAGTGGGTAGGGAATGTGAGCCTTGTGGAAGTTATGCCCCCATTGCCTAGCCAGCACACTTGGTCAGACTAAGTACTTGGCAAGCATTACTTTTTAAATGGATGAATGAATACATTGCTTTCATTCAAAGAGGTTAATGATGACATATTCTTAACACATGAATAATTCTTTAGAGCTTAAATTACCAATAAATGCAAAGAGAATCTGAAAACAAAGATTTTTCTAATTTTTCTGTGCACATTTATGTAACATGGACCTCATCTACATTTCTTACTTCTGATGGAAGCAAGTAAGCCAGTTTAACAAAAATAAACACTGACATGCAATTAAATTTTTGGATAATCTGCACATCCTTGGAAGCCTCATTTACCTTTCCCTTTTTACTCATTACCTTTTCTTATGCATCTAACACTGACATCCATCTCAGCTACCATCAGCATTTTGGATTTTTCTTACAGATATGAACATTTTTATGCAGTTGTTTTTAGAATTTCAAGAGTCAAGAGTGGCCTAAGTAATTACTAGGCGTTTGACCCCTAGTTTGTATTTTTTTGCATAATTTAGAGATTCCAAGTCATTGAATTTTGTTTACTAGTATTTTTTTGTTTGCTTCATTAAATCAATTATGCCTCTTGTAAAAAGTAAATTTTGTTTTCCTCAGAGCCCTGGAAATCAACAGGTATACCCACATCACAGCCACTTATTTCTTTGTTGCTGAAAGAATCCTAAGAGACAATAATAATTATTCTCATAACAAATTTTCAATAATAATAATGTAACAACAATAATTATATGTTTATCTTTTTCAATAATAATAATTACACAATAATAATAATGTAGACCTTGTAACAGTAATAAATATACATATTTGGATTCAAAGTAGAGATTTATTCAGAATTGGGAATACCCTTCAGTTTTATTACAGTTCTACAAATTATCTATATCTAAATGGATAAAGATAAATTCTAAATAAATTTCATAGTGATGAGCTCAAAAAGTAAACCCTTTTTATGCTTTGATTTTAAGTGGAAAGTAATATGGCCAAAAAAAAAGGCAGGAAGATGAGGAGAGAGGAGGAGGAGCTGGAAGAGAGGAAGAGAGGAAGGAAGAGGTAGAGGAAGGAAGAGAGAAGAAGGGGAATCATTTATTCCTGAAGATAATAATGATGGTGAAAATTTATAGCAATGGCAGCAAACATGTGGAGCCCTGTCCTAAGTACTTCACATCTGTTGATTTGCATATCTTTCACCACAATCCCATGAGGTAGAGAGGATTATTACTCCCATTTTACAGATCAGGAAGCTGAGTCAGGAAGTTGGGATCACTGTTTGTACTCTCTAGCCTCACAAAGTTAGGAAGTATTAACAACAAAAAAAAGTTTACTATTTCCAAACTTTAAACTTACTAAAATTAGCAAAGAGTTTTTTTCTTACCTGAGCTGGGCCTTACTATTTCTAGGGCTTGCAGAGCTCATCTGTATTTCTTTGTCTTGCATTTCTCTCAGGATCCTTTCAGCAAGCAAGAGGTACATGGCTGTGGTTTGGGTACACTTGTTGGTTTCTAGAGCTCTGAGGAAAATGAGGTTTGCTTTGTACAAGAAGCAAAATTGATTTAAACAAGCAAACAAAAAAGTATAAGCAAATGAAATTCAATGACCTGAAATCTTTAAGTTATGCAAAAATGCAAACTAAGAAACTAAAACACCTAGTGGTTATTTAGGTCACCCGTGAAATTCTAAAAAATAAAAATGAGGCACTTATTCAGAGGACTTCATAAGGTTGCAGAGTGAAGTCACTGCCCTAGAGGGTTAGCAAGCATGGTACCCAACCTATCCTCAGGTGTCACTGTCTTAAAATCTGTGTAATCCTGGGCAGGCTACTTACCCTCTCTGTGTTTTGATTTCTTCATCTTTAAAAGGGGAATAATAATAACACCTACTCCATAAAGGTTCTCTAGAGGGACAGAACTAATAGATGTATATATAAAGGGGAGTTTATTAAGGAGTATTGACTCACATAATCACAAGGTGAGGTGCCACAATAGGCCATCTCCAAGCTGAGGAGCAAGGAAGCCAGTCTCAGTACCAAGCTGAAGAACTTGGAGTCCGATATTCGATGGCAGGAAGCATTCAGCATGGGAGAAAGATGAGGCCAGAAGACTAAACCAGTCTAGTCTCCCCACGTTCTTCTGCCTGCTTTAACACTGGCCTCGCTGGCAGCTGATTAGATTGTGTTCACCCAGATTGAGGGTGGGTCTTTCCCAGTCCACTTACTCAAATGTTAATCTCCTTTGACAACACCCTCCCAGACACACCCAGGAACAATACTCTGCATCCTTTCCTCCAATCAAGTTGGCAATATTAACCATCTCAAGTCCTCCCCTTGTCAACTTGAACCCATATACATCTCCTGAAATCATACATAATCTTCAAGCAAAGACAATAATAAGGCCATAATTACACCTAACATAATGCAACTATTCTTCGTACAACTGGAAATGCACCAATCCCTAACCCAAATGCTATTACATAAAATTAACAACACCTAAATGCTGATATAAAGTCAACAAATCTTACGTCATATAATAAAGGAAAAAGGAAATCAGATGAAGATAATTTCTTAGTACAAGTGTATAAATGCACAAACTTGTCCTTAACAAAATAAGGAGGAAATACTCGTTACAATTACTGTCCTCATTTCTGCAACTGGTCACATGGTCGTAGCTGGCATTAATGACTACCTTCTTCTACTACCCATTCTGTATTCCCTTTGCCTTCAGCAAGTACCTCAGTAGGCTGTGGTTTTTAACCTGGGGAGTGACCCAAACCTTCATTCCTGAGGGGTCTGGAACCCATTTGCAGTCCTGCCTGAATAGGGCTGTTGTAGTTTCCCATTGACCCTCATCACAGGGCATGGTAAAACTAAGAGATACCCTAAGAGCTCTCCTGTATTTCACGCATACTCTTTCTTAGCTTCACTGTGGTATAGTAGACTTATTTCATCTTGATAGTCTGGGAAAATCACCCCAACCAACACTGTAACTCTCTTCTTAGCCTGTTGACTTAGGCAGGAAAGGTGTGCAGGTGGCAATCTTAACTTCCAATTAAATTGAATCGTTATTGTGTCCCCTCTTGGCAGCATTCCTCCCTCTGGAACTGAGACCTCGAGGCCAGCAGAACATAATGTCATGGGAACAGGAAACACAAATTTTGCTAGTGTGTCATTAGAGGGGATGGTGAGTGGTGCCACTTCCACTTCCATCCCTTGATTTCTGGACCTGTGAATCCTGGCTATGGGAGAAACAGTACCATATATTGGATGCTGATTCAGAGCATACACAGCCCTCTGGATAACTTTGCCCTAGCCCTGCAAAGTATTGTCACATAGTTGGTGTTGTGTGACTTCAAAAGGCCATTCCACCATTCTGTCATCCAGCTGCTTCAGGATGATGGGCAACATGGTAAGACCAGTGAATTCCATGAATATGAGCATACTGCCACACTTCTTTAGCCATAAAGTGAGTGCCTTGGTCAGAGGCAATGCTGTGTGGAATACCATGATGGTAGATAAGGCATTATTTGAGTCCATGAATGAAAGTCTTGGCAGAAGCATTATGTGCAGGATAGGCAAACCCATATCCAGAGTAAGTGTCTATTCCAGTGAGGACAAACTGCTGTCCTTTCCATGATGGAAGAGGTCCAATATAATGAACCTGCCACCAATTAGCTGGCTGATCACCCCCAAGGAATGGTGCCATATCAAGGGCTCTGTGTTGGTCTCTGCTGCTGGCAAATTGGGCACTCAGCAGTGGCCGTAGCCAGGTCAGCCTCGGTGAGTGGAAGTCCATGTTGCTGAGCTCATGTGTAACTTGCATCTCTGCCACCATGGCCACTTTGTTCAATTCCATTGGGCAATTCCAGGGGTGGCTGGGGATAGAGGCTGAGTGGTGTCCACAGAATGAGTCATCCTATCCACTTGATTATTAAAATCCTCCTCTGCTGAGCTCACCCGTTGGTGAGCATTCACATGGGATACAAACGTCACAGTTTTTGGCCACTCAGAGAGGTCCATCCACATACCTCTTCCTGAAATTTCCTTGTCACTAATTTTCCAGTCATGTTTCTTGTAAGTCACTAACCTTCCAGCCAAACCATTGGCTACAGTCCATGAATCAGTATATAATTTCACATCTGGCCACTTTTCCTTCCATGCAAAGTGCACAACCAGGTGCACTGCTCGAAGTTCTGCCCACTGGGAAGATTTTCCTTCACGGCTGTCATTCAGGGATGACAGTTCTAGAAAGAGGTTGTATTGCTGCAGCTGTCCACTTTCAGGTGGTGCCTGCATGTTGTGCAGAACCATCTGTGAACCAGGCACTAGTCTTCTCTTTCTCTGTCAACTGATCATAAGGAACTCCCCATGAGACCATCAGTGCAGGCTGTGGGAGAAAAGGCAAGGTGGCAGGAGTGGAGTATATGGGCATTTGAGCCACTTCCTCATGTAACTTACTAGTGTTTTCAGGACCTACTCAAGCCCAATTATATATACACCACTTCCATTTGATGATGGAATGCTGCTGTGCATGCCCCACTTTATGGCTAGATGGGTCAGAAAGCACCCAGTTCATGATAGACAGTTCAGATTGCATGGTGACTCGATGACCCATTGACAAAAGTTCAGTTTCCACCAAAGCCCAGTAACAGGCCAAGAGCTGTCTCTCAAAAGGAGAGTAGTTATCTGCAAAAGATAGCAGGGCCTTGCTCCACAATCCTAGAGGCCTCCATGGTGATTCACCTATGAGGGTCTGCCAAAGGCTCCAAACAACATTCCTCTCTGCCACTGATGCCTCAAGCACCATTGGATCTGCTGGGTTATATGGCCCAAATGGTAGAAAAGCTTGCTCAGCAGCCTGGACCTGTTGCAGAGCCTTCTCCTATTCTGGACCTCACTCAAGATTGGCAGCCTTTTTGGTCACTCAATAAATAAACCAGAA